GCAGAAAACTCTTCTCTCTTTGGCGCTTCTCACTCCAGCCTTTGAGTACTAATAGTAATACTATAGATGAAAAGATCTTATCGTATCAGTGTGTAATTGTTCCACCTCTTCAGACGAACAATGCAAGAACTCCTTGAGACATCGATAAATTCCTGTTGTTCACGATAAGCTCCAACAGCTCTCTTTATTTATTCACTTTCTCATTACGTTTTGATGCCCTTATTAGGTTCGATACGGATTTTGTCTACGCATTTGATCTTGCAGACTCTAAAAAACCCGCTAAAACATAGGTTGTATTTTGTAGATTTGCGAGGTGATCAACATTAGAACAAATCGGTCCGCAATGGATAATTTTTCTGATTTTAGTTTACATTGTCTGTAGTACCTGCTGCAGATAAATTTTCACTCCGCAAATTTTAATCGTAGATGTGAATCTAAGAGTGTATCCAGTTCCAATTTAAAATATTAGGACCAATAAAATTCCACTAAAGTAAGAATAACCACACTTGGTTTCTTTCCGTGGAAACGGTTACTATCGAAATTACGAGCAATTCCATCTATGACAGACTTTTCAACCATTGAATTTTGAGAACAATATGCGGCGCACCTCTAGATCTGATAACAACTCTTTTTCCTTTCATGACAAAGCAATTAAAGCTGTTCTTACAGAGCATCTAATATTTGTGGCTAAAAATTCTTTTGTTGATAATCTCTCGAAAACCACTATTGAACATATGTTATTATTCCTCCACATGATATTCGTCGACGAAACAAGATCTTTGTGACACTTTTCAACAAAGGTATTTGCCCATTTAAAACTTTCTCTGAGAATCAAGTCGAAATAATCACTGTAAAAGGAGATATCCCACAACTGGAAGAGCAATGTTGTCGATTTTCACTGTGAAAGCTTCGATAGCGGCGAGTATCAGAGCAGTGAAAAGGATTCTGGGATAAGAAGGTGATGGTGTTGAGCAAAAGAATCTGGCGACGACCAAGAAAAATGCAATGGCTCCAGCCATCGCCGCTGAACCTTCGAAAGTCTTCTTTGTTCTGAAAAATTGTTCAGTAGTGTACATGAATGGGCATCTGTAGGACGACAT